ATTAGAAAAACATTTTTTTTAAAAGAAGAGGTAAGTCCTTACCTCCCCTCTTTTCCTTAAATGAGAGTATTTCAAAGATTTGCATACAAAAGCACTTGAGTATTTGTACTGCAGTACATCTGGCAATTATCTTACAAGAGAAAGCGTGCGTTTTAGCCAATTGCCACAGGCTTGGCATTACTGAGAGAAGTAGAAAGCATTTGAATGTACAGAAGAGAAGGGATATTCCAGCTTTCTACCAGCTACCTTGAACATACTTCACGTTTAATTTCACCCTGTTGCCACAGGCACTGTGTTGTTATGACAGCTGATCTGCCATTGAATAGCTGTAAAGGAAAATCAACAAAGGATCGCTTCGGCGATTTTCAGTGCAATTTATTGGAGCTTGTATCTTGCGGCTGCTGCCGCCTGTCGGGGTAATGACACATGATGGGTGATTAAAGTGCAAGTCCCTAAATCAAAGCCGTGCCAATGGTCTGAAGAAGCAGAAAACAGCATTCAGACCCTGTTCATTTCTCATAGTGGGAGGACCTCATTAGGAAAAAAATGGGCTGTTTTACTAACAAGAGAAAGTACTTGTGTCTAGGGAGAATTTTTATGCTTCCAAGATTTACCGTAGCCTTCTTACAGCATCTTGTAGACTGAGCATTTAATGAAAACAAATAAGTAATTAAAACAGATAGAGAGTGTTACAATCCATCGCCACTGACTTGGAATTTATACTGAGCCGTATTGTAGTTTGTTCACATCCTCATATTTAACACAGTTTTTGCCTTTGTTTGCCAAGAAATAGGTGGTGAAAGACAGCTGCCTGTCATGAGGGTTAGGGCAAAGGTAGGCAAGGGCAGCTCACCAGCTCATGAGAAAGGACACGTTGGGATACAAGAGTAGTTTCAGTTCACTGAAATTATTTTTGGTTTTCTTTCCATTTACCTTACTCTTTCATTCTGATGAGATATGCAAGTAATCCAGCTAGAGATTTTTACCATTTCTGGACAAATTTGTCCATTGGACAAAAATGCATTCTACTCAAGATAACTGCAAAATAAGTATGAAGAAGCAAATAAATGAAAAAGCCCTTTTTTTAAGGGTGGCAGAATGTCAGGAGAAGAAAACAGTAAAACAGAGTACATAATCAGACCAGGGGACTTTGTTTTGTTTTGCCACAAAATACTATTTACAGACCATGGGACTGTGAAAAATGGAGCAAGGAGAGATTAAGAAATATCAAAATAACTGGGCTCAGGTGAATTTGACATAGCATGATTGCTGTTCTTCCTATAAACATTTTTGAAGGTGTTAGAGATGGTGATTTTTATCTTCCTTTACAAAATAGCATGGATAATCTATCTTTGCAAATGCAGAACAGGCAATCTCACCCTTACTGACATCTTGTGGGATATATGCATTTTTAATGAGAAATTGGACATAAACAAAAGGATAGCATCTGTTTATAAATGCTATTCTTTTCATACACGAGGAAAAGTAGCAATCGGACAGATCTCAACATTCGTATATTCTCAACAAGGAATTATTTTCCTAAAGACTAAAACGAGCATTTAGAGGCACCCTGGTGAAGAGAGCACAGCGAGTCCTCCATCACAGCTTGCTGGCTTTACTGCAGGTGTTGTAGCAAAGCAAACTCATTTGACTGGCCACACGGGAAGTGTGCCTTTATCCTGCCCAGATAAAGTTTCACGGAGGAAGCCAGGCATAGACTTCTATCCATTTTAATAAACAAATGCTGCAGTGCTTCAGCCATATGGTGGAACAACTTTTAGCTAGCAGTGGAGGAAACAGCTTCTCTAGATTAAAATCCCTTTTCAAAAGCATCTTTTGGGCTTGTTTGTGTTTATAACTACTATTATAATTTATTTCTTTGGAAGTACTAACTAGTTATGTGATCGGGGCCTCTTTGTTCCATGAGTTGTCTGAAGATGGAAAGAAACAAATCTTGCCTGGAAGAGGTCATGGTCAGCATGGACGAGAGGCACTAAAGGAGGCACAGGCAGCAGAGGCACAGGGTAGTGAATTACCACAGCCAAAACCCAGGATAGCTGAAGAAACAGGGCACTAGACTCACTTTTACACTGTGACCAGGCTCCCTTTCCCAAACAGCCTCTTCTTCTGCTGTTCCATCAGCTCTTGTCATAGATAACAATTTTAGAAGTTTTTTAAAGAATGTTTCAGTGGTGAAACTTAGCATTAAAAGCTAGGATTAGTATGTTCCTGCTGGAAGGAGGTGTGACTGACTGACGGCTTTAGGTTTATGTATTAAACACATATAATGCAAATAGTTAAGAAGCATATTTGAGAGGAAAGTGAATGAAGCAACTCTCTTTTCTTGGCAGACAGGAATTGTTGGAAATGTTTTGGTGATCAGATTAAATCTTCTCAGTCTCCACAATGACATGAAAATAGTGACGGATTTAGGAAAGGGCAGAGCTAACATGCCTGCATGCCTGCCTCCAACAGATTTGTTACATAGGAACACACATACCTTAATGAATGCTTGCTTTTCAGGAGGGAATTTTTTCACAATACTGTTCTATCATGTTATATATAGCCCCTAAAGTGGAATTAGGAAGTGTGACGTTTATTCAAATGAAGGGAGGCAGGCAGTCCATTTTAAGCAGACATCTATTCCCTTGTGACTCCCAGGCAACCTTTAAATAATTTTAGTTCTTCCCTTCATGTTAAAGGCTCATTATCTTTTACAGAAATTCTTTAGAAGTCTTCTCAACCCAAGCACCAGGAGTTATTTCTCAAGACAGCAGCAGATTCCTTATTCCAGATCTCTCTCATGATTTTCTAATATTGTATGTCTTGGTGAATAAGGAATTTGAGAACTACTTATCCTTGGTTCAGAAGAAGAGAAGAAAATCACTGATCATGATTTTTATGTCTATTTCTTGAAAAGAAAATGAGAAGGATAATAGCTGCTAAGTGAAGATTCTCTGCTTTCACGGCTGCCATTCTAGCCCTGTAGTTCCTGATTCAGCATCAATTCTGGCAGCTCGCTCTTTTCACATTTTTGCCAGTATTCCTGAAGCCTCTTTCTTTTCCTCTCATCTTTTTTCTTTGCACTCCCTCCTCATACAATCTCCCTTCAACCAAGAAGTTGGACGAGCTTCTCTGACATAAAGGTGTCACGCAACACCGAGGCACTAAATAAATGTGTATCTGGAATTCCTACCATTTCCTTCTTAGTATTAAGAGTCTTGTTAAGCAAGCCAAGTTGGTTTATATATAAAACAACGAATGACAAGATATAGTACCAGACAGAATAAAGGCAGGTCCAGGCCCTCACTTTGGAGTCACTCCACCTGACCAGGTGCAAGTGTCATGTGCCATAATCACACCACCAGAACAGGCGATCCAGCTATAACTGAAGCCCACCATGGCACACTTTCCCAAAGCAGTTTGTCCTTAATGTGTGCTTGATTAAAGCTAAAGCTGTGTCTCTTCTACACACGCACCAACACGCTAATGGCGTTTGCTCCAACAGCTGTGCTGGGAGCAGTACGTGTGTTAGTGTGGATGTGTGAGGATGTACAGACATACTTGCCTGCTATCTCAGAGCCGGAGGGGTTTTCATTAGATTCAAACAGCAACTGACTCTCCAGGGAAGCTCCTGCTCTTATTTGATAAGGGATGCTCTTTTATCACACATGAAACTGCATGCAGTGATCAGACAGCCAGTGTGCATAGCTGCCAACCAGAGGAAAGCTGTTTTTCTGTAGCATATTACAGCAGCGTATTGCTACTACTGTTGAAGATTGGCCCAAAAATGGTCAGTTATGGAAACCATAGAAGCTGAAACTTCTACTGATCCACAGAAAAAGTATGCAATTAATATACTTGCTTAAGAGGTTGGGATATCAGAAGACGAAGCCATTGTGGTAAATCAGAGTGGAGAGGACATCTGAGGTACTGGGGCTTGCAAATCTAACAAAGTTGACACTCTTCCTTTCAAAGAACTTAGTTCTTCATTCTCAGACATTACAACAAACAAACAAGACCCCTAAACCTAAACATTAGTGGTATAAAGTATAGCTCTCCAATGGAGAATAAGTTGGATTTTCCTTCCTTTCAGGAAAAAAAAAAAACACCCAACTTTTTACTTTCAAGGGCATACCTTTTCCAAGCTAATTGACATCTCAAAACTTCAAAGCACTCAGTCAATCTTCAAAAATCCTATGAACATGAAAGTGCATGACTTGGTGACCTCCTTCAATACTGGTCTAATAGGTCATCCAGGAACATTTGGCATGCTGAAGTGTCAATAGTTTCTTTTTTCTCTGGTGGGAAATTATATTCTCTCTACAGCATGTTTGAAGGAGTTATAGCTAACATACACCTAAAAACTGGATTGCTTTTGCTCTTGTGCCTAGAAAGTACAGATAGGTTGAGGTTATGTACGCACTCCAGATTCAACAGAATTAGAGGCATTTTCTGAAAGTTATCTGCCAGTGGCTAAGTCAAAATGACTACTGTGGCTGTATCTATAATCTTATAGTATGTTATAGCATCTTGTGGTATCTACTGTAATTGTACCTATAGTACCTATCTATGGTATCTTAAGAATTGATTAAGGGACTTTTAAATCCGTACTTTCTTCAACTGCTGAGATTTGTAACAGTTGCTGAGGGTATTTCTCCTTTGTTATTGTTTTTTTACCTTTGACCAAAAATTTTCTTACTTCCCTTTCATTACTCAGCTGTAGCTCATAGACATGATACAGATTTTTGAAATGAGATGTTAATCTTTTTCATCTTGAAGTCCCGTTTTCTCCCTCTACTAAACAATGTTTATTATTAACCATACTAACTTCCAAGTGCTACCACATGCAGCTGAATACCAACATTAAATTAAAACCAACAAAAACAACCTCTCCCCTCCCTCCCCAGTTCCCCTCCCTCCAAACTAAGGATGCAGTAGACAAGCCTTTTTCACTCAGTGGTAATATCTGGATCACAGAGAAGTGTTTTAGTTCTTACTTTTAACAGTGAGGTACATGGACTTGCTGACGTCTGCTCCCACATCATTGCTGACCTTGCAGAGGTAGTATCCACTGTCTTCTTCCAGCACATGTTTAATCAGCAAGGAGCCATTTGTGAGAAGCTGGATACGACCGTTCAATGCAATTGGCTGGAACTGAGGAACGCCGGCACCTAAAGCAGGACCCCCATGGAAATAGGTTAGTGAGCAAGGAAAGCATCTCATTTTTTTCAAAATAAGGCAGAAACTATAGTTTCCTGTTCTTAGAGGCTCAATTCAATTAAAATACTAATGGCTTCTGACATCATCAGAACAAACAGAATGGTTCTTTGCCAAAATTGAATTCATTCAATGGAAAGAAGACAGACACTTGGAATGTAAGAGTAGCAATAATTTGCCCATGTTAGAGGTAAAGGGGTAAAGGGGCAAAAGGAGCATGAAGCAGGAGTGGAAGAACCAGAAAGGGAGAGAGAAAATGAAGATTTTCAGACCGCTCATGGGTAAAAAGGCACATTTGTTGTACATTTAGAGGCTGATAAATTATTGACAATTACAGCTGAACAGTCATACAAGTATGCATCCCTAATGCATACACCAAATGAATTTCTTATGACTAAGAGGGATGTCTGTTGTAGTAAACATGGCATACTCAAGGGACCTCTAGCACCTTGTTTACGAAACTCTGGATAACGTGGAAAACCACATTAGTAACTGTGTTGCTTGTTTACTCCTACAGCTGACTGACTGATGACACATTAAATCTCTGTTCTGCCATGTTTGTAGCCGGTAATTATTCGGATTGTGAAAAAAAAAATACAAAGAAAGAAACAAAAAGCTCAGACCACTAATCAGGCATGAGGTGCCATGTTTGGCGGTAATGTAAAAATGGAAGATCCATAAAAAGACAGGAAGCCAAAGATTTCTTTATCAACTTTGGTTTTAAGAAAGAACCTACTTTTCCTTGGAAATAAGATACTGGGTGATTTAGGGAATAGGGAACAGGATACTGCCATACTGTCAGCGTGACATACTGTCCAGAGGCCCACCACAAGTTCAGGTTCCACCAGCATTAGGGACTGTCTAAGTGTATATTAAGATATGGGTTTCATAACAAAGGCTTTTACAACCTACTTTGGCAGCAGGAGATGGGATTTTTCAGGGGAATCATAAGGTAGTCTTCTTCAATGGAATTCTCTTATACCACTTTCTGTACACGAAGTTAATATCTGTCAGCATTAATTGCTATACACAGTTGGCTGAGTCAGCCCAGGAGGAAATATGATGAATGAATACTATGGGGAATGATTTAGTGTAAAATAGAAAGCTATAACTACCTATGAACACAACATCTAGAATACTAAAAAAGACCAGACATGCATTCTAAAAATCCTTCTAGTCCTAGAGGAGTTTGCTTTCAGGACTTACAGTTACACTGAAGGTCTGGTGGCCAATACTGTGAACTTAGGAATGTTAAAGGCGTAATGTTTTCACAAAAATCAGTTGCCATTGTTGGTTTTTCAACTATTTCAGTCACATGCATATCCCACTTCCCCCTTTGTCTACTTTTCTTTTCTTTAATAAGCCATTTTTCCTGTCATTTTAGTTGGAAGGCACATTTATGCTTCACTAACTCTACCTGCCCAAGTAGACACATGCAAGCACTCACTTCTTATATTTCTTCACATGAAAAATTCTGGGGACAATTGGGTGTTCACAGAAGGGAAAGGGCTGAAACTCCTGAGGATATCTACAACTGGGTAAAATTTTGCATAACAGTTTGCAAAGGCTTCTTACTCTTGTCATGCACTGTTACAGCTATTACAGCCAAAATCCTTCCTGAGCAGTGACAGCAGCTTATCCCACACAACTGGATGGATGAATCTGCAAGACTACATGCTCGTGAATCACAGAATCACAGTCTGCTTGAGGTTGGAAGGTGCCTCTGGAGGTCATGTCATCCAACCCTCTTGCTCAGGCAGGGCCACCTAAAGCTGGTTGCCCAGGACCATGTCCAGATGGTTTTTGAATATCTCCAAGGATGAGACTCCACAGGGTCTTTGGGCAACCTGTGCCAGTGCTCAGTCACCCTCACAGTAAGAAAGTATTTCCTTATACTCACATGGAGCCTCCTGTGTTTCAGTGTTTGCCCATTGCCTCTTTAAGTCTGAAGGACTTAAACAAGAGATTCTTGCTGATTACGGGGTGTCTGTATTGATCACTGCTCTTCTTTAGAGACAGCAAGTCCATTTCCATTACCTGTCTACCCTTATGTACAAAAAAATGAACCCTCTTTTTCCATTTTTCACTGACGCAAGAAGTCAATGACACTAACTTGCCTGCAAGTGTACAGATGCCCTTTCTACTCTGTTGTGGTACCTACAGATGAGCTATGATCTGATTGCTTTACTCCTGCTGGCCTTACCTCAGTCATTATTTCAGAATTTGGCGCAAACCTTGCTCACAAAATAATTATATAACATATCTCTTTAAAGGAAAATGTAGCATATATCCCATAAACTTGTACAGCACCTTAGTTAGACAAAGTATTGAAAGTGCAGTCATCCATTAGCAAAATACATGCTTTTGCAAAAATATTGACCTTTTCACCTAGAGTTATTTTGGCCAAAAAATAAAACTGCAGTTTGATGGCTTTGACTGCCTCATATATCTACTAAAACTTTATTTGACTTAAAAACTTCAGAGCTTTTAATGGAAAACCTTAAAAACAGTCACTTGATGGCACAGCGTCACTAAAATCAAACCACTATCTCCTTCTCTTTTATTAAGATGTGCCGCTTATCAACTCACAGTTAATTACAACTCAGATAGCTTGGCTTGGCCTCCTCCTTCAGCACAAAACCACAACAAAAGAGAATTACTGCTTTGTGACCTATATTCATAATTAAAACCCCATACACCATTGAGATTAAGGACATTTGAATCTCTGCACCCTTCTTGCCACAAACCAGAATGTATCAATAAAAGCAAAAATAGTCTGTAATATGAACATCTCTCTTTCCCCACCCTTTTTCTTCAAATATAATTTGGACTTAGATCCTAAGCAAACCAAAAATGACATGGAACATTAATAAAGATTTCTTCTCAACAGCACCTAGTTTTGCTTTTTAACGAGTTAACTCATGTAGATTGAATACAGAGTTTGGAGAGTTTGTTTTCTTGCTAAAACCAACCAGAAGACAACTGGCCAGAAGACACAATCTAGCAGGCAGCACATTTTAATTAAAGAGCAGTCAATTTCCTTTGGTTACTGAGGGTCAAGTGAGGGCAGTTTTAATGCTCTGTTACATGAGAAGAAAATGTTAAAGCATTATGTAAAGCACATACTGAATTAGTGCTTATGCTAATGCTACCTGACCTTTCTTCTTTGCTGAAAAGATATGACTGGCCATGTTATCACGGATTTTGAAGGGGGAAAAAAATCAGCCAAATTCTGCCGGTGAACCTTGTTCTGAGGTTGTTTCAACTAAAGCAGTACCTCTTTTCTCTCAGCCATCCATTTCATCACATGCCCACTGAGGCCATAGCTAACACAGGCACATATTCACAGCTCCAGGACGTCTCTTAAGGCAGACCAAAAGTCCATCTAGCTCAGCCTTGTGTCTACGACAATGGCCAGCACTATGTGCTTAGGGAAATGATAAAAGAACAGTATAAACGTGACTGATGCTTCCCTTATTGCACCCTGCCAACCTCTGACGATATGAATATTAAACCAGCAACTTACAGGTGAGTAAGCTGTTACTAAACCAGAATTATTCTGTGCCCAGTGATCACAGGAGGAGACCTACCTTTTGAATACTTCCAGACAATGGTAGGAACAGGATAACCCTCTGCAGAGCAGTTGAGAATTACAGCTTTTCCATAGATCCCATCCTGATCGCTGGGCTGAACCACAAACCTCGGGGGCACTGTGGGAGGAAGCAAAAGGAGCCATGAGAATTTGTGCAACTTATAAGGTAGCTCAAAATGGCAGACCGGTCAAATAAGGAGGCATAACATTTCATAGCAGAAAGCAAAAATTAAAACCAGCTTTTTGACAATCCAGTGACATAAAGTTGGTTTTACATGATTATCTACTTTCTGTGCACAATCATAGAATCATAGAATCGTTTAGGTTGGAAAAGACCTTTAAGATCATCCAGTCCAACCATGGACCTAACATTACCAAGTCCACCACTAAACCAATTAATCTGAATGTATTTCTTACCAGGCACAACAAAAGCACAACAAAAGCACTGGTCTTGACAGGATACAAAAATAAGTTAATAAAAATCTCTCCATAGGAGAGGTTATAAGATAGAGTAACAGATAAATCAAACTGTCATGGTCAGAAAATAAATGCTTTCTACCAAAGGGGCACGTTTGACAGGTGTCTAAGAACAACTGAAGTTTTCTGTGTTTGTTTTTTATAACAGTGAACTACTAAGCTTTAGAAAAAGAATTAAATTACGTGGTGTAAATAAACTCAAAAAATAACAGCTTTTAATACCAATCAAATCACTTCATATTAAAATGAGGGCGTTCAAACCATGAATTCTGATGGGACTTTTCTTTCCAAACAGCCATAAAAAAGGTTCGACACAATTTGCTTGCACTAAGTTGAAGAGGAAAATTCTTACTGGAATAGATGTATGTACATCGATGTATACATATTATTGGACTTATTCTAAGGAAGCATAAAACCACTGCAATGAGTCTTCCAGACATAGACAAGTACGTTTATATTTATACATAAATAAAGTAAGAGATGCTAATCTAAAGGAAAAGCTCTACATGTCCCAAATACAGATACACAGTGAAGAAAACAACTTGTGACAATGCTAGACCTACAGTTTACCATGAAGGCCCAATACTGAATGTCAATGTCTCAATAAAACCTGCAGATTTGACAAAAGATTGAAAGAAAAGCTGAAAACTGTGAAGAACAGTGCAAGAGCCACAAAAGTTATCGAAAATAAAAGGTGCTTAATGATAGTATTCATTTCAGTTAAAGTCACAGAATTTCATTGATGTCCTGTTCTTTGCTTCAGAGCATGAAGAAGTAACTACCTGAGAAAAAAAGTAAATTATTTGTGCCCTTATCCCACATTATTCTTTTTGTCCTTTCTTACAGTGCTACAGAGAAAACATAGTAAGGTGATTGAGCCTGTGACAGATCTTTTTCCCTCTCAATTTGAGTACAGAAACACACTGAGATCTAATGCAGTAAAGGAGAAATCCTAATAGTTCTTGCTTTCCTCACCCCACCACAATGTATGCACATGGGGACACACACACAACTCATGGGTTCACAGGTCCGCAGGTCCAGCCAGTGCTGAGTTTGTCTGAAAGTTGGGGGAGGCAGAACAGAGGGCCCAGCCAGCCCTCCTCTCTCTGATGCGACCCATCTTCCCAAACCCCCATCAGGCCCTGCCACCTGCCTCTCCAGAAGTGCCAGAAATTAAGAAAGGAAGTGTGGGAGAGGGCTGTAGCATGAGGAAATGTAAGGCAGCACAGAAGAGGATCATCAGTACAGTGACTATTTGCCCTGGGACCCAAAACAGCTTGTAATGGCCATGAATACAGTACTACTAATACATCAAACAACTGTACCACAGAAGCACAGCAGAAGAGCCAATGATATATCACTTTAAAGTTTTTCAGTATATACATTCTCATAGTTTATGCAAATAGCACTTCCCATTATACCAGAGGGTGCCAAGTTTTCCTTAATGAGAAACTTCAGCTGCCAGTGTTGGTAGGGACAAGACCGCTAAAAGTTGGATGTATCTAGAGATACTCCCTCCAGGTGCAGAGAACCCACCTCACAACAGCTTGAGCCCTCCTCTCTGTGCCCCCATAAGCCAGATTCCCCTCCAGGTTTCTCTTTCCACCTTCATAGCTATCTATACGGTTTTTTAAAAGATAAGAACAGTCTTCTGGAGAGCAAACAATCCCTTTAACTGGACCTCTCACTCCTTGAATCTTAGAGCTATAATGCAAAGCTGTTTATTGCGTAACTACGTACAAAGAAGCTCTACTTCTGTTTGGAACATGGCTAGAAGAAACAGAAGGAACTAACAGCAATAAAGGCAAGAAACACCTTTGTACTAGGAGATGTATTTACTGCTGTCAAACATTTCAGCTTTCCAAACGGCTGCCACACTGACAACCATAAATCATATGTTATGCTAATTCATGATAGGTAAGCATCAAACACAAAATCCCAGCAACAGCAGCCCTGGGCAATCACCCACCCTGTTCTAATTATCTGTTCACAGAAGACATTTGCTTCAGTAGCTCTTTTCTCACTCTTCTGTGTTCATTTTATCACCAAACATAAAAGGATTCCCAAGTACTTATTTTCCAAAGCAGGTGAAAAGTACAATTAGTTGCACAAATAGGTTTGATTTTATACAACTCGCCACGGTGGCATCAGCTTGTTTCACCTCAGTAAGTAAATTTGTATTCACAACTTCTGAAAAATCAATTATAAGCTGTTTATTCATAAAGAGGGTAGACCGAAAAAACAACCCCAAACACAAAAACACCTCAGTTGTATCAGTCTTATAGGTGAATGATTACAAATGATGTAATGGAGTGACTGATAATTACTGGCCTCCTCTACCACTGAAAAGTGTGAAGAGTATAATGTCTTTTAAAATCTCAATACCATACAAAATTTTTGTAACTTCTTTGTTTAATTTCCCTTCTCTTTGAAAAACATTTTCTTTATGTTCTTCATTTTCTATGGATGACACTGGCAAGAAGTGCTAATTTTTCAGGAAATAATTTATTATATTAAATGGGTAGGCATATGCAGAAAGTTCTGGAAAAGTTAAGCAAGATTGCCTAGGATGGAATAAAGCCAATCAGCCTTTAAAATACTATTTGTATTAAAGTTATCTGTTAAAATAAATTTTTTGTCTAGTCCCTTTGGACGTATATAGAGAAAAATGGATGGATGCCAAGTGTAAATGTTGTTTGAGAATTTTTATGGAAATGCATCCTTCCACATCTTTAATGAACTCATGTAGATTCTCTCCATGTGTTGTGCCTTTAATGCTGACAAGCTCTGAACAGGGCTTTTTATCATATTGATTTCACTGTATTTTGGGAATATATATATATAACATAAGTTTTTTCCTCAGATATTCTTAGTATTCTCATTTTTAATCATTACTTTTAATACAGAATGATACCAGAACGGTAGCTGTGGGAATTAAATTTTGCTGTACAAGCTCCAGAACCAGGTCTATGATTAGCAATCAAACAGTTTCCTTGTACTGCTCCATAAACAAGCATGTTTCAACCTTACTTGGCAAAAACTCTGCCCATGCCCAGTAATAGAAACAATTTCTATACTCAGTAAAACTTTGGCCTTCCTTTAGGACTACTTACAAAAATGCCAACTGCTGCTCTGATTTTGAAGGCATGAACCCTTGACACTTAGTCTTAAGACTGCCAACAGAAATCAGAAAAGATGCTAGAGCAAAACAAAATTACCTATTCAGAGACCTTTCAATTGTTTCTGTATTGCTGTCTAGGTAAAACCAGAGGATTTTTCTTCTTACAAAATGATTAAAAATTAAACAGAGGAGACCTTTACATTTTTCTTCCTCATTGATACTTTGCTTCTCAAATTTATTTCAAATTAATAATTTGTTCAGTGCTATGTGCTACCATATTTTGGAAGACAATCCAGTTAACTACTTGATCTAGATTTTGATACTTAGCTTTAGATTATACAGCTATATTCACTTTTTCATTATCTTTCAGAAATTCATTAGTCCTTAAAGAAAATTTGCTTAGTAAGAATTTAAGCAAGTTAATTTGTCTGATATGCTTAAGTAGAGTTAATGGAGAAAAGAAAGCCATTAGTTCTCTCCTCTAGTTGTAAAGGTGTGGGCCTCCTCTGCCCCTTTAGAAGTGAAACACTCTGAAATAGCTCATGAATATGACTGAACAGTTCTACTTTTCTTATCACCCTTGTTTCAGCAGTGCAGTCCCTTGAGCCCGTAAAAGAGGGCATTTAAAATCGCTTTAACAGTGAGTTTCTGTTAGGCTCACTCATTTAATGCAGCCCACGGATCTGTGATGAGAAATGAGCTGTTGAATTGTTTAGTGTAAGAGCAGTAAGTTGACAGATGCAAACTATTTAACGGCTGAACTCAAAGGACCTAAAAAAGGTGTTTTCAGTCAATATTATGACTAGCAGTCTCAGACTCTCACAAAGGGAAAACAAAGGATGAGAGCAATCAGAATAGGATGTTGAAGATAACATGAATGTCATAGTGCCATTTTAAGGGAAGGAAAATGCTTTTATTATCTCCTTGTATGAAACAATCCTGATGAGATGATAAAATATGTGTTGGTACCCTAAGAAGATACTGTTTACCAGTGCCATCACTGCTCACAATGACGGACTTTACAAGCTACTAACTAAAATTAATTTATGAGTGCATGCTAACATTCCTTGATTTAATTTTGCTTTATGTAAATCCAAGAATCCTTTCTGACTGTGCTTTATGCCAGGGACCAGATGAGAAACTCGCACACTCTTT